CCGAGATTGAGCACAGTAGTTTTCAAAGCCAACTAGACCGTCTACGCGTACCGCACACATAACATGGACGTTAATTCTAGGTGTGTCTAGCCCCATTGCGACACATGGTTCTAGTTTAAGTTAAAGCTGTGTCTTCTCACTTAGGCTTTTCCGCTTATCATTTTCTTATTGGCAAATCGAATTGCATATATACTGATTACTGAAATGCTGCTGATAACTACTGTGTATGCACGTGTGACCAATGTGTTGCATGTGTTTGGGCGCACATATGGAGCAAAGTATTATGAGAGGGCCAGGTCTATGCAATCTCACTAATGGTTTCTGCTGATAACCGTATGACGGAATGAGCTATGGCATTCTTTCTCTTCTGGGACAGTGTGAAGAGGCATTGCGCGGGTTTGTGCCTATGCAAGGGTTCCAGATTTTGCTACCTGGTGGCAGTGTGGGCGGTTCGGAAATAACTCACCAGACCAGTGAGTGATTCATTTGTGTGACTGGAGTGCGAGCAGGTCGGAGTTGAGCCCACATTACTATTGGTGGTGGTGGTGGTGGTGGTGGTGGTGGTGGTGGTGGTGGTGGTGGTGGTGGTGGTGGTGGTGGTGGTGACAGCAGTCATTGTCGTTGTTGGCACAGTTTAGGTCGCCGATTCCCGCGGCAATTGTGAGGTAATGGCACTTTCGGATGGATTGCTGTGGCGAGCCAAAGATGTGACTGGCTTTGAATATTGGGTTAGCAAGCTCATCGCCGATCGTGACTGTTCCTGAAATGGTTCAGCCGGGCCCGCCAATTTGTATACAAATATGAGACAAGTTCAGTTAATATTAACAATCCTATCGTCGCAATCACCACTTGGTGGTGGTTGATGAACTGCCACTGTCTCCTACTAAATTTCACTGCGAAGTTAAGGGGTCCTGAGAAAAAGAATTCCACGTTCAGCGGTATGTTTGCTTCCGTCGTGTCGTTTAGCTCAATGGTTTTATATTTGCCGTCTCTGATGATGGGTTCAAGCAGGAATCCGAAACGTCAGGCGAATAAAGATCTTGTCCCAGCGATCGTGTCATCTTCTTTACGACTGCTGACTGGGGCTCGCCTTTTCGCTCAAAATTGTGTAAACATTCATCGACGCAGAACAGAATAACGCCATAACTAAAACTGCATAAGGAGACATGTCGTCATTTTAGGCAATACATTCTGCCATAACGTTATTGTTCCAGGTTTATTTCCAGGGAGGAAATTATATAACGCTTAACAAATACGATTAAACTGTCTTTTAAAAAGGATTATCCCAGGAAATCCATGAATACTTTTGGGCGGATCAAAATCAACCTAACGATTCATTTGGCAGAGGCAATAAAATGTGCGATGGGAGGAAACACAAAAGTTCTTCCCTCACATAATCTGTAGAAATGCTACGTCTTTCCATCTGACACAAGTTGTTTCCTCTCATGTGTAACCGGCAGATTTCGAACTAACGTAGAATACATGCGTCGTCCGTTGCCCAACACGTCAATGCCAGTGAACAAGTCAAACTGAGATTACCAGCCGGGAGATCAGATTCGAATAAGTCTCAACGGGAACAATGCCGACTTACGCTGTCTGGGATGGGTGCATGGGAACAGTAGATGATATGTCGGTCACATTGTTCATTTGGGAGAACAGACAGGAGCTGTTGCAAAGGCGTTTTGACAACTTTAGGGAGACAGACGTGTAATGATCTGTCAAAATATTTGTCCTCCCCTGATCTCTCAGATGCTGCGTACCAACGATGTCGTAATGCCTGTTCTTATTCCCTTAAAACGTTTCAGACGTCGACTAAGGGCAAATGCATAACTCTAGGTGGTTAAATGGCGCATTTTCCATCCCCATCGGAGCGTTCCTTACGATGTCTGGATCATAACGTGAGGACCAAGCCCGAAAATGTTGAAGAGGACTATTCTAACCAATTGGGCGTCAGCAAAATCCTACAAATTGTGGACCGTAGATTGTTAACGACAGTAATGGCATTCAGTGGCTGATATCAGCCGCAACAACTCCTAGTTTCCAATGTTCGCCCGGAAAACAAAGTGATGAAAACACCTAGAATCCTCTCCGACTGGCAAACAGCGCCATGGGAAAATGGAGACGCGGTCGAAAGGACAAGAACCTCCTTCGCCTGGCGTTTCAAATTCAAACATTGAACGAAAATCCTCTGAGGAACGGACAGAGAAGGCTGCAGAAGAATTCCTTAAGTGCTCACTGTATACCGTAACCAGAGGTTTCATGTGAATTGATAGTGTAGTGGTCAAGGGGAAACTGGATGTTGTGCGTTAATGGTCGAGAACTCCAGAAAGCTGCTTCAGCACAGGACAATTGGACTGTGACACAACACCGGAAAGCAATGCCCGCGAAGCCTAACAAAGAGAGTGGAGTCAGGACTGAAAGCGAAAATGGGTGGGCGAAATGGAGACGGTGTGTGGCAGAAAAACGTGAATTTTACTTCAGCATGGAATGAATGAATATTATTTCCGACGCCTTCAAAGGGCGCCAAGCCCTTCATAATTTTGGCTGGGTTTCCTATTGGAGGCATCATTTTCTACTCGCATTTAAAATATGATAGCAAAAGCTGAGAGTTTAAAATTTTAGACCGATAACATTTTAACAGGGAGTTTGAGACAAAGAGGCACTGAGCCCAGACACACATGACGTTTTTTTTATAAAGCATTGTCGCATCTTCTGCATAGGTGACAGGTCGACGTGTGTTTTCTTCATAACATGATCCCGTTGGCAATAAATTTCTGAATGACTAAACTGCGGAACATTTTCCAATTTCATTTGATGACTTGGTTTTACGGCGTGCCCACATAGAGCTAAATATGACAAAGACGAAGGTTGGGAGGTTTCAATGTACCAGTATATAAGGTGAACTTGACTTATGAAGCGAAAAGACAGGTCGGGAAATGCTTATACTAATTTCTGGTAAAATGAAAAACAGTGCCTTCGTTTAGATGTGCCGCCTGTTTTGCCGCTTTAATTTTCCATCTGTCGGTCAAACATTAGAGGAAAACAAGCGGTGTTACAGTTGCACGAATACATCGCATGATCTTGTGGTGGAGGTTGACGGCTTTCTTGGGTGACTTGCCTCAGTGATCTTATGGGAGGGTCGCGTTTGTAGTTTCTGCCAATCCACCCGCCACTCTCTTTGGTGGATGACAGTTTGCAGACCATGATATGCATATAAATCGTCACGATATTGCGGAAATTGTATCCTATAAAATTTATATTAGTGGCATCGATGAATGAGTGCAGTGTATAGGGTTTTGCGGTGACGGATGCATGCCAAGCAGTCGGCCCCATAAATGCGGATCTGGAAATTAAAATTTTCACATCATGTCCCTTAATGCATACTTGAACGCATGGTTCAGAACTAGCCTTTGAACGTCGTCCACTGAGCTTGAAGTTTCGGTGACTTCTTACCTGGAACGTCACGTTTCCAACTAGTGTGCCCGCGGGCCCTCAGCCCTGACCTTGGCTTGACGAAATCACAGGACGGCATTAATCAGCCATCATGTCTACTACTGATAAGTCAGGAAATCACTCGTCTCGTTGTGCCTTGGGGCTCCCTCTTGAGCCCCACCAACAGCCGCACAGCGGCGCGTGACATAGGCAAAATAAAATTGCCGACACAATCAAGGGAGACTGGAATGGCCATTTCTGGCTTATGAGCTGTCGTCAGCCAGTTATACCCAACCCCGAAGTGTATAACACCCGAGGCTCGAACGCGCGACCTGTTATTTGGAAGTCAACGCCTCTAACCACTGGGCCACAAGGCCGTTGTCCTGTCGGTTTCGATCGGGAATATACAATGGTAGAGGAGTGCTCACCGATCATTCTAACGGAACTCCCTCGCTCTTCTCGCAGACAAACGTGCTCCCGGGCACCACGCGGCTACATAGACAACAGCCAAATACTCTAGCGCTATTTGAGACTCTAACTTTGCGCAGAAGGAACGTATTGACCGATTTAACATCCGCGACAATTTGATCGCCGTACCCTATTCCAAACCATCAGTTACCCACAGCGGTATCATGCAAAAATTTCCTCCCGCGCTCCCCTCACAGGCTTTACTTCAGTATTCAGTATCAGTATATTTCAGGGAAAGTAGGTGCGTACCTTTGAAATCCCTATTGGTTACATGCAGAGGCTATATATGCAGGAAAGTGAAAGGAAGTAACGTGAAAGAAATGCGAGGGGAATAGCAAAAACTGTACAGATGAACACAGAATATCATGCGTTAACAGAATCTAGAGGCACATTAACTTGCTTTGTTGGTCAAATACAGCGGACAATTGAAGCACACTTAAGATACGGAAAGAAGTAAAATTGTTAAGTCTACAGGCATCGTTGGGAATGTGAGCAACTGGGCGCGACGTAGTCCCAATTAGTAAATTACATAAACATATGTTACTTATAGGCAGAATGATATTACCGACAAAGACAAGGGAGACTGGAATGGCCATTTCTGGCTTATTAGCCGTCGTCAGCCAGCCATACCCAAGCCCGAAGTGTGGAACACCCGAGCCTCGAACTCGCGACCTGTTGGTTTAGAAGTCAACGCCTCTACTCACCGGGCCACGAGCCCGTTGCCCTGTCGGTTTTCGATCGGGAATATAAAATGTTAGGGGGCGCTCACCGATCGTGGATACGGAAATGGCCATTCCAGTCTCCCTTGTCTTTGTCGGTAATATCATTCTGCCTATATATCATGTGCCGCTGTGCGGCTGCTGGTTGGGCTCGAGAGAGAGCCCTTAAGGCAAAACGGAACGAGTGAGTTCCGTATCTACGATCGGTGAGCGCCCCCTAACACATATGTTACTTAAATGTTGGTAGTAGCATCGTCACAACACTAAATTGTCCGCGTCGGCTGTCAAGGTGGCGGTAGACCGCCGGTGTTGTGGTTCGCGCTCCAATGCTGATCTAGCCTCCGTTTAAAAGTATCTGCGGATCCCGACATAACAACATCCTCAGGCAAGGGATTCCAAAGCTGCAACCACTCTGTTGGAGAAGAAGAACTTTCGGGTGTCTAGCCGGGCACCAGTCACACGCAGTTTGAGTGGATGGCCTCTCAGGTTAGTCGTAGTCGCCAAATCGAAGAAGTCTCCAGATGCGAGGCAGCAGCCCTGATTGCGCACGATGCGGAAAGCTTTTATCAGGTCCCCACGTTGCTGTCTGTAACTCAAAGGAAAGAGGACAAGATTAGCTAATCGTGTTTCGAAGGGTAGTGACCACTGCCCAGATACAAGTTTCGTTGCTCGCCGTTGAACTTTTTAAAGTATGTCGATGTGTTAAGCGGTCCAGGGTCTCCATGCTTGGATAGCAAACTCCAGATGCGGTCGGACAAAGGTTTGAAAGACCTTGGCGAAGCAGTCTTCATCAAAGGAGAACGCCCGTTTGACGAGGTATAGAATGGACATCGCTGACTTGGCTACCTTTCAGCATTGCAGCGAAGGCCTAAGCGAGGTTGTGATCCATACACCCAAGTGGCGGTATACATTCGACCGTCGAGAAGGGTCGGGGGGTTGCACCGTATCGGAGATTATCGGACGTCAATTCCTTTCATGAAGTTGGGGATAGTCAAAGTAGAGGCGCTGAGGAACAGCTGACGCTGTTAGCCAACAAACTTGTCCATGGTTAGACAGGCCATAGTGTTCAGAGACCACAAACGCCATCGCTACAGTAGAGTCGATCAGTGGATTCCGCACCCACAATTTGTGGGAGCTTTTCTGAATGCAAAAATCGAGTAATAGTTCTCTTAAGTTATAATTTTATGTCTGTCGTCTGAAGCTTTTCGAGAAAACGAACATATTTAATTTACGGAGCCAGTTTCTACAGACAAAACTTAGCAAACGACCCGCCTCCTCATAACCAAGTCAAATGAACGGGCCCTCGGCGAGGGGGTTGACGAATTCAAATGACAGAAGGCTGTGAAATTTCCATCTCAAAAAATGAAAGTCTGCATGAATAGCAGCTCAGTTGTGATGATTTACACGCAATTTCAGCACGCTGGATGCATAAGACTGATAGTGAGGCAGAAATGCTAAATGCCGGTGAGTTCGTTAGATAACAGCAAACAGCATATCAATCGCGTTTGCACGCAATAAGTCCAGCAGCGTCGAAGTTAATGTCGATAAAATGGGCTACTGGAATCAAAATAGTAACACTTTTATGGTCAATACAGTGACTCTCTGGCAGACCTATAGCAGGTGAGCATCCAGACGCCTCTTAGGCAGTCACGTTGATTGAATGCGCGATATGTGTCGGTAAGGAATTCTACTGTCGAATGACTCTTTGTGTGAAAAAGAAGGAATGCTGATTGGCACGACAAAGCTCCTTTTCATGGGGATGCAAATTCGTCCTTGGTGCCATCTCAAGATTTTAAAGTCCATATGAAAGTCAAGTTCCGTAGCAACTGATGCATTAGTATAAGGTCACCTCTGTCTTGTCTATGGAGGAGGGTGCAGAGCTTTAAGACAGGCACTGCTCTTACGTCAAATTCGTGAGTTCAGAAACAGGCTTTGCAGTATGTTGTGCATCTTTAAGAACATCTGTCTATCCAAAGCCACGACCGCCAAGTCTGTACTGCAAATTCCAGGTGTGGCTACACAAACGCTCCGTATAACTTGCCGAAACTATCTGAATCCAGCTTGATAAAGGTTCTGCCTATTGACCTTATAACTGACTTCGCCTGCCTGCGACTTGGGAACGCTGCGCCACTACGTTTAAATTGTCTTTGCGGAATTCTCCGAAGTCCTCATGCATAGTTACGGTATTAAGTAGTTGGTTTTTAAAAAGGCACCATCGGAAAGGTGAGTTTCTTCTTCGATGGTTGGCTGCAATACATTCGTTCAACATAACGCTTCACCGTCCTACGCAAAAGCACCTGAGATCTGACGGATGTGGTCGTGAACAGCAGTCAACTGCTTACAAGAGAAATCAGAGGTCTCAATGACTGGGCGCACAAGATCGGGGGTCGGGAAGATTTGAAACCAATTGGCTCACAGTCTTGTTGATTGTCAGAAGCATTGGGAAATTAAATGGGAACTGCGGTTGTTTCACACATGATATGGCGGATGGTGAGATCGATGCAGGATTTGTGGACATAAAAAGGAATTGGTCCCCAAAATTGGTCGTCGTTAAATACCTGGGCAAACGTAAAAAGTATGGCAAATTGCAGATGAACCAGGGTTTATCGGTACGTCGAGTAGCGACGAAAGCGAAAGAGGCGTATCAATTGCCGCCATGATACAGGGATGTGTGTGTGTGAAATCCGGACCTGTAAAAGTCATGCGAAGGAAAAGCCGTTGAAGTTTAGCAGGCGGTCCTCGTGTCAACACGACATGCTACCTCCCTGTTTGCAACCGGAACGTCAAGAATGGGAGCGGAGAATGCAGAATTTGATGTGAAGGAACCGGACAGAACTCACTCGAAATTTCGGTGGGTCGAGTCTGATGGCCTAGAGACAGAGGCGTGGGATTTCGGTATATCTGTGTCGTCACAGATCGAGCCTTTTGCTGCCGGAGGACTGATTTCGAATAACAGGGCCGTGGCGATTATCATACTTCAGTACAAGAGGCATAAGGTCTTCGGATGGGCGTCAGTGGAATTGACAGGTCGGAGGGGAGGTTCGACGAGGACGGACGGGGAAAATCCAAATTGTCCTTCGCGCTCTCGCCTGGGGGTTGCAAACGGAACTAAAATTGTCTATGGGGGTCCACCGGTGACTTGGGGATTCCAAAAATGCCATGACGGGCAGTGAGCAGTGGTTCGGCACAAGTGTCAAGCTAAAGGCAGAAGCCATAGACAACGCTCCGTGGACAAAGGACGGCAGACCTGGCGAGGGCGATCCTTGACTACGATGCGAGTCAGGTGTGGCAGTTGCCTCCTGGTTTTAATAATGGGAGTATGTCTCGTGACGGCTGCCTTTTCTTCGGAACGGACATAAGTGCCTGACAAAGTTCCATTACACCTGGCTGGTCTCGATGGCAACTGGTCGTGATATATAACGAACAACCGCTGGCGACAGTCCTGTAGCGAGCATGCGGAGACAAACGTACTGCACAAATAAAAAGACCTTGTTATAGGAGAAGTTTATTTTGAGAGGATAACGAGGCACAGGGACGCTAAACAGGAAGGAACGTCAACACAAGCAAGCCATCCGGAAATTCAACTACGCGGAGAAAACAGGGAATGTCGTTCGTCCAATCAGGCGTTGCCCTGCATGACCTCATCCGGGACTGGTCCATCAATCCCTACAACGATTTTAGATCAGATCAGATCGGGAGGAGTAACACTTAGTAAATAGGTGTTCAACAGGGGATTTTCAGCACACTATAACTACAGACTACGACAAATGAACGTGTAGTTAGATCGTCCACACGTAACCCCGTTCTTAGTCGTCTTGCAACTGCTGTAAGTCACGGCATTGCTCAAACGGAGTTACATGGTACATAATCGGGTCATAAGAAGTGGCGTTCGCTGGGAGAAGTTCATTTTCGACATGTTGTCTGAAGTTATGAAGTCACTACCTACAGAGAGAACTCTGTAGAAGTAAAAAATTCTTGTAATGATTGTCAAATGTCAGCCTCGAAGTTAAATCAACTAGATAAATGAGCACAGTGTGTTACGTATCTTCAGAAGGGTAACATGTGGTGTGCAAGATACTCATAGAAAGTAGTCAGGAAGGACTTCTGGAAGTGCAGAGGAATAAGAAAATGGCGGCAGGAAGGACCACAGGAAAAGGTCGCTAGGATCCGAAGGGGAAGGTGTCAGACTCACGCGAAATGAAATCCTAAACATACATGGAAACTGACAAAAGTGTGCCGATAAAAGAAGCAAAAGAAATGCACCACATACTGCTCGATGAAGACAGTGCTCATACAATGCGCGCATCTTCCGAGCCTACTATAGAGGGGATGTCAACCAGTGCGAAAACATAGGGGCAGTGGACCCAGGGTGGAAGTAGCTGCCCCTACGATTTGCCGTTTCGACCGACTTGAAGCTCCAGGGCGCAGAAGCCACAACCTCGGAAAAGTCAACTACTACGCAGAGCCGTCTGAATAGAGGCATTGCACATGGGTCACAATGCAAAGTTACCCAAGGCGTCTCAGCAGAAACCACAGACGAAGTGCACAGTGAAAAATGCCCCGAGGGCGTAGTCGTCTCCCTATCGCCAGCCCACAACAACAGAGTTCTAGTACCAACCGACGATGACCAATCAGCATAAAAGTGAGGAATGCCCGGCAAGGGCGGGTGCATTTTCATTCAGGGACTGTCGGAGTTCCACACCTGCAACCTCGAGGAACAAATTACTGCAGCCTCGGTGCTATTGCGGTAGCCCTCTATGAAACGCTTCAACCATCGGAAGAAGTCACCATTTAAAAGGCCCTTCGTTTTGGAGGCCGTTTAAATGTCACTACGCAGATATGACCACTAAAAATCGCTCTAGGTAGCAAAGAACAGATGAAACTAATCCTTTACGGGAATATTCAACTAAAGTATTCCAGAACGGGCACTTTTTCCAGTCGGACAACCCACCCTGCAGAAAGAGTGAGACACTGTGAACTAGTTCTAGAACTGAGAAAACGGAGAACTAACAGAGAGCAGAAGCCGATAATTTAGAAAGACCTGATAATAGAACGCCATCCTGCCTCCCTCTGAAACAAGCTATTCCGAATGACCGTTCAGCTATTCCCTTAGACAGTGTCGAGATTGTAAACGAATCTGGTATTAACTCCCAAATCACAGTCGTAGTCACAGTGTGCCCTCAAAATCTCGCAAGAACTCCCAAATCACAGGCATACCTGCCAATGCTCAGTGAGAAAACGGAGGACCAAAGGAAAACAGAAGCCGGTAATTTAGAAAGACCTGATAATAGGAGGCCATTCTGCCTACCTCTGAAACAAACTGGTCTGAATGACCGTTCAGCTATTCCCTTAGACAGTGTCGGGATTGTAAACGAATCTGGTATTAACTCCCAAATCACAGTCGTAGTCACAGTGTGCTCTCAAAAATTTACGAACTACGTACGCATACCAGTGATCTCTCTTCGGACGTCTTCGTAACAGAAACATGGTTGACCAAACAGGTTGAGGACAGGAGAATGCATTGCCTGGATTTCAAGTGTTACGCAAAGACAGACAAAACCGAACGGACGGAGTTAATATTTAGGTCCGTAAAGAATGGTCGTATTTTTCACCAAAAACTGCTGTATGGTTGACCAGATGGGCGGCGGGTTGGCCAAGCCTCCATCTCATGACAATTAGACCGTCGTTGCCGACGATGTCCACCGCGTACTCCACAGCAAGGTGGGAACAGTCGCGGTAACTTGTTCGTGAATTAGTTTACAGTGATAGTAGGCTTGCACAGAATCTACCGCTCTCCACTCCTCTGTCGCCTGAACCCGGTGTCAGGCCAGAGTCAAGAAGACCGAAGGCGGAAGAGGGCTCAGGGGGCTGGGGCGGTCGGACACGCACCTAGCCGTGCCACCACACTCCCTAGCCTACAACAAACACTTGACCAGGGCTTTAACTAGCAAGTCACCGGGTAACCATGCACATAGTCCGTACATCTTGCGGGTCGCCATATCATAACGATGCATCGATCACCCTCCTCCCCCTTTCTCACAAAATGATCGAAATTAATGCCCGACTGTAGGAAGGGCTCTAGGTATTTACTACGCGGTCGAATATTCTCATAGTTGAGAGCTTTAATGCTCCCAACACTGAGTGGAACTCGGAATACACCGACTGCTCCGAAACTGCATTCGACCAGCAGCTTCTGAGTTCTAGTGGCCACTCGCTTCTCACCCAACGCCTCGTGTTTTGGACTACATTCCTTGCGGGCCAGCAGATGAGCCGCTTCGACCTTTTGTCCACGGGGTCGCCTGACGGCATGAAAGTTGTTGAACTGCCTACTTCCATAAGGCCAGATGTGAGAATACACCCTGTTCTCGTTGCCCGTCCAATCGCCTAATCTCCGACCAAATATTTGACTTGGCGATTTTAAGCAGATGAAGAATGAACTTTATTTTATTGACTGGGCGTTTACACTCTCCGGCAGTATCGACGATGTTTGGTTCACAAACTCCTCTCCAGTCACTAAGAAAAAAAACTCAGGAACAGATATTGAAGACTGACTCCCCCCTCAAGGGAAAGAGACGCATCCGCAGCTTTGACGTCGTTGAGATTGTGGACCGAGGTAATGATCCGAAATCAAGGCAGGCGCAGGAAGCCTGGATGTCCACCGACTGTCTAATAGACCGCCAAAGAATCTTGAATTCCACATATCTGGTTATAAGGACCTACTTGACAGGAGATATGGCAAGATCTTATTTCGTAGCCATATCTGCTGGGGGTTAGGGTTAGAAGTTAGGGGTTGGGGTCAGGAGTTAGGTTGGGGCTTGTCTACTGCAGGCACGGCTACGAACTAGGATCTTGCCATATCCCCTGTCAAGTAGGTCCTTATAACCGGATATGGGGAATTCAAGTTTCTTTGGCGGTTTACTAGACTGTCGGCAAATGGTTAGGTCTTATTTCGTAGCCGTGCCTGCAGTAGACAAGCCCCAGTCTAACCCCTGACCCCTAACTTCTAACCATAACCCCCAGCAGATATGGCTACGAAATAAGATCTAACCGTCACCTCTAATACGGGACCGGTGGTAATAGGGTTTTTTGCATGTAGGACCGGGGAATGCACAGGCGACGAGGTCAAGTGGTTGTATGCAAAAGAAATCCTATTGGGAATGTGCAGTTGTACTTTGAATGGGTGAGAAATAGTTGCGCTAACCCCTAACCCTACCCATATCTCCGAACCATAGCCCCTAGCCCTAACTCTTAACCCTAACCCTTGACCCTAACCACAATAGTATTGTGTGCATCAGATGGGGATGCCAAACCACATCTTACCGAGGTGACTGGGGTTTGCTTACCTCAGGTGGGGCTACCAACCCACATCCGACCCAGATATCACTCAGTTTATTGAATAAAATGCGTAGCTATCAGCATTACTTTTACATCACATAAAATCCACTTCCAAATGAATTGAATTTTAAACGAAATCAAAGTTTCACTCGCTCTGATCCAGCAAGACACAGAGACCTCCCATCGCACCTACCTTACAATTAACTAAATACAAGTGCTGACTTACCAAGGGGAAGTCAGGTCCCTAGGCCTGCTACCATAAATTTTTGGATTAACCTATTCGGAAAGCCCATTCACCAAATAACCGATGCAGCATCCTCCTCGGCCAAATAAATTTTCAAATCAAAAAAGCTTAAAAACGCACGCGATGAAAGCAAAACTCCGAAAATCTGGAGCGGAAAGTCGGCAAAGGGCAACTCACGCTTGTGGACACCGATCACGTGTTCCTTCAAAGCTCCCTTCCATCCAAAGGGCTTCTGACAAACCTCGCACGTGTACTTTCGCAGTTCTGAAAGGGAGACGAGTTTAAGGGGTCCGAATTAGTAACAAACAAGCAGGTAACCAGTGGTAGACCAGGTAACCCATTAGCCCAACTGCTCAGCACACGGCGAGACCACATGTGTTGAGTAAAGGAACAGCTTCCAGCAAAAGTTATCCATAAAATAAGCAGTCTCACAGGTCTGGTGAATAAGCACTTGCGGACCAGCAGCGACAATACAACGAGGGTGTGCAGAGCTGAGATCAGGAATGCTAACTACCTAATGAAGTGTATCAAATCGTCCTGAATTCTACAAGCCTTGTGTCGAAACTCCGGCGCCCTGGTTTCATATGGCGATGAGGACGTTCTCCATGACTAGGCACGGCCCCGTTCTCAAATGGGAGATAAGACCAAGCACAAATGCCCCCGCGACATAAGCCTCATTGATGTTGCTGCGATGGTCGTCACTGTGGACCTTTTCAGGCGATCTCATCCTCTGCAAGACTGTAGGAATAGGCCAAACTAAGACGGATCAAGAACCAGGTGTGGATGCGCGAACCAGTTACTTACGCTTAGGCGCATGCTGAAAATCCGTCATGCCTACCACCAACCGACGGCTGTCTGCTTTGTCGACTCCGCCGCTGCGTTTGATTCCGTTCACCGTAAGTCCCTGCGGCGAAAAATTAAACTAAATTGTGTGCAGCTAGAATCATCCGCATAATCAAGGTATAGTTCCGCTGCACCACTTTGTGAGTTCTCGTCCATAAAAACCTAAAATAACCATTCGATATCCAAACCGGTGTTCAACAAGGTCTCATCCTACCGCTCACTATACTCAACTGCAACACTGACTGAAGGGGATCCTACATGGATTTCATGGCGTTGAGTTCGCAACCAAACACTCGCCGATCGATAGATGCCAAGCCGACGATCACACAGCTAGCCTCGAGCTTTGGTGACCTACGGTCTGTGGTGCCGTGAGCGAATAAGGTCACTACTTCGGTCGGTTTATCCGTAAATGCCGTGAAGATCAGTTTGTTTTCGAGCTGCATTCCCGACCAGAGGAAGGTGTCCATCACGATTACTGACTGTTAATTTGAAAAAGTAGATAATTTTAAGTACAACCGATTGAGGCTGCTACCCAACCAACGACACTGTCTCACGAATCGGTCTTGTCTGCAGGCTCTTCTCAATCCTGAGATAGTGCCCATGGACCCTATGTGATATCTCTATCGCCACGAAACTTCGTGTGTGCAGTGCATCCGTCTGGTTAGTCCTCTCCTGAGGCTGTCAATGCTGGACTTTGCGCATGAATGGGCGAAAACTGGAGGCATTTGATCCCCTGCCTGGAAATTATTCTTCAATAGAAGTAAACCGACTTCACCTCAAAACGGGCAGTCTGCGCTCGCCGTTACAATATCGCAAGGTGGTTTCGCCACATTCTTCGTCTTCCGTCCCACGAGCTCTCCGTTGCTGCCCTCGATTCGGTGCCACCCAATTCCCTCCCTTGGAGGTGTCGAAGAGGTAAGATCGAGACCTGCCCCGAGGCAGTTCATCAAGACATGGAAGTGGTTCTTGGATCTTTGGTATTTAGTCTCCCCCACTGGAGATGACAACTGACCTAGATATCCAGATCCAATGCCATAGATTGTCACGCACGGAGAGTTACAATACGAGACATCACCAAGGCCGTACAGATCAAACAGAATTGCAGCCGTACAAAGTCAATGTACAAGAGCAGGTGAACAGAAGCGTACTTTTGTGTACAACATCCACGTGCTTCTTCAGGGAACCGCTGTGCGTAAACGCCTTGCCACAAATCTCACACACGTAGTCTCGCAACTCTGAAAAATACAAATAACGCTCATTTAGTGCGGGAAATGTCCGCTAAATTTCGCTACGAAAAATGTAATACGAGGTTTGACATTCGATGTGGAAAATGTGTGTTTGAGGCGCTTTGCACGCGGCGAATAACCTACTGAGGACAACCAGCGAGTGACTTGGGCGGGGAGTTCCTATTCTCGTGTCCTGTTTAGGGGGACTATGTAAGTCAGTTGCACCGTTCACGGCAAATATACTGGCTATCAGCACCACCCAGGAAAAGTGACGTCAGATTTTAGAAATGCCCCAGCGCATATCAAGATGTTGGAACCGACGCCCTTACAATAAAAACGGAATTAGTCAGGAAGCCCATAGTCAAGCAATCTAGATGTACACTTAACAGTACAGATAAGCCCATACACGAAGCCACCTAAACAGCCAGCCTATAAATGAATCCTCCTAACCCTTATCCCAAAATCTAAACTCGAACCCTAGGCCCAGCTCGAATATTGATTGTAGGCCCTAAAACTAACCCTCACCCCTAACAATAATAACAAACCTAACCTTAAAAGTTAAGAACATACACAGCTTCATCCTCGCACACATGGTTGATTCTGGGCATCGAGTAGATTCTAACGGAGTTTTCCGTGTGATTTAAAAGGTCCCACCTAACTATCCTAAGCGAGTAGGTCAGCGCGCACTAGAAACAGCAGAAGCGACTGCCATCAGGCTAAAGAGGCCGGTCCTGTGCGCGCAGAAGAACCTCTTGCACGCTCGGCGTCTGCCGACGGCAAGGGTCCATGCATGTTTTTGCGCCCGTCCCCTTGTGACATGGCTCTACCCAACCCTCGCTGCCACTCACTGCCCCCCTCCTCCCACCTCTATGCGCATACCCCGTTTGTGTGAGAGGACGAACCGTAATTGATTGCATGCATTTCTCTACGGTGTTAAGAGGAGACCATATGAGGTTCACAAAATTAAGCAGTGGATTTGAGCAATATTGTTAACTTTACAAGCCACACTGGTAAATGCAGATACATGACGTTTCATGAACGGCCATTTAACGGTATGAAAAAATCTCACAATTAGAAACTTTTCTAAAACTAAATTATACTCTTCTTTTGAGTATGAAATTGGAAGAAGACGTGATTTTCTGCCAAATAAGTAAAAGAATGAAGATTTTTATGCATGTTTTCCATGAAATATAATTGAATTTTCAAGGACATCGAAAATCAATGAGAAAATTGCATACTACATAAGTAGTCATTTTTTGCAGAGTATAGATCGTGCATGCAGCCGAAAATAAGTCCTTTCGAAAGCCGACACCCTGAGGTAACTGGATCATTATAGAGTTATGCTGCATCCTGATAAGTTTTACAACACTACTTAATTTATCTTTTCGAAACGAGAACGCATTTCGAAATTTTGGTTGACATTTCATGAGTTAGAACATCTACTGTAAGTATCCTAGGCGACTGGGTCAGCGCGCACTAGAAACAGCAGAAGCGACTGTCATCAGGCTAAAAAGGCCGGTCCTGTGCGCGTAGAAGAACCTCTTGCACGCTCGGCGTCTGCCGACGGCAAGGGTCGATGCATGTTTTTGCGCCCCGTCCCCTTGTGACATGGCTCTACCTAACCCTCACTGCCCCCCTCCTCCCACCTCTATGCGCATACCCCTTTGTATGAGAGGACGAACTATAATCGATTGCACATATCGCTCACACGTTTCAGTTTGTACCTCGTCCCCATATAAATGTACAGGTCCGATGAGAGTTTATCGAAAGCATGCGTATGATCGCCAAATGCTCTTCTGAGTTGCTCCATGAGAATTTTCGCTACTTTCTAACGCTAAAAAGTCTAAAACTCGACCTATCTCCATCCCATAAAACTGACACTAACTGATAACTCCTAACCGCAAGCCATGACCCTAACACCTAACCTTAACCCTAAATTTGACAGATAAACACATCGCTGACCCCAACTCTAAACCTAATCCCCAACCTTCACTTTTAGGCCCTAGCAACTAGCGTTAATTCTAAACTCCAACCCTGGCACAAACCACTTAATCTCAAACACTAAACCCAAACTCCGCAACCCCTAACCACTAACACTAACCGCCCTAAATTCTAGACCTAAGCACCTCTGACCACTAAACCTAGCCACAACCCAAACCCCTAACACTAAACCTAGCATTGAGTAGTAAACTTAACCCCTAATCCTTAACCATATAGCCTAAGTCTAACCCCTTACCCGACGCTTAAACCCTAACCATAATCCCTCAGTGCAACTCGAAACCCCAAACCCTATAACAGCAGCCCAGGCATTCATGGATTTCGACTGTGTGAGAGTGAGCTATGGGCCACATTAACAAGGTGCCATCGAAGCCTGACTCGGCTAGATCGCAGTTGGTAGCCAGGAATGGGTAAGAGGACGGCGACCTTAACCCTAATCCTGACCTTAACCCTAACCCGAACCCTAATTTCAACCTTAAGCGTTAACCGTTAACCCTAACGGCAACCCTGACCTTAACCCCAACCGAAATCGTAAACGTAACCGTAGCCGTAACTGAAAAATCTAACCGTAATACTGAAACCTAATCGTACGCTCAAAGCCTAACCGTAACCCGAAAACCTAAGCCTACAGGCATAATCCCAACCCAAAATCGGAAACCATTAACCGGTACCATAATCCTAACCTCAAACGTAAAACGGAAGCCAAATGAGTCAGATGTGATTATGGAGCCCCACAAAAAGCCCCAGTAAACAAACCCCCCGCCAAATGTAGTACGAGGCCTGGCTTCCAATTGCGATCTAGCCCCGGACTCCTAGACCTAGAGCAAAGTAGTCTCATTAGTCAATCCTCATCCACCACAGAGCACTGGAAAGACAAGACGAAGACGACAAACTTGTATGATATTGCCACGAGAAGAGCTTACAATAACTCCGTATCTAAGGTGCCATTGCTTACGAAAATGACACTAAACACGTGGGGACAGACTAACTGGTATCAGCAAACTGTAAAAAGGGTTGCCTACTGCTTATATTGTTGCAATCCTTCATGTATAGTAAGAATATGTCGGGTATGGCAGTACTGAATCTGGATATGACAGATTGCACAAGTTAATTCGTGCCTCCCCATCTACCACGATATTTATCAGGAGCCTAATTAAGGAAAATGGTTTCGGACATAACCGAGACAATGCTCCATCTGGCAGTTCGACCGTCAATTCAGACTATGCTTACCGTGCGCAGCAGACACGGTGGCTTGCGCGTGAATTAGTTCATGGTGAGTTTAGACTTTCGCAGCATCTACCTCACTCTCTTATCCGCACTCCCCACCTGAACCCGGTGTCAAGACAGACGCAAGAAGACCGGAGGCGGGGGGAGGACGCAGTTGGCTGTCACGGCGGGAACCGCACCAAGGCGTACCACCACACCCTCTTGTCCACAACATACACTTGACCAGGACTCTTCGCCGACAACAACAACACCTTAACAGGGGTCAGAGGACTAGGATGACTGGGCAGCCATGCCCACCACCTGTATACCCAGTGGGAGAGCAAGCACATCTACCGGCAGGGAACCAGGTATTAGGGAACCGCCAGCGCATACCAGGTTGCGAGGGCCATGGTTTACTGATACTGGCATAGCACACGCTTTCAGACACTTTGACCATGCTCCATTTACAACGCTCAACGGAAAACATGAATTGAATGCAGAACACAGCACAGAACTTGACGAAGAGCGCGAGCGGTAAACCAATAGGAGGGGAAAGAGCGTACCTCTGTGGACGCCGTCTATGTGCTCCTTCAGACTTGCCTTCCATCCGAAGGCCTTACCGCAGATCTCGCATGTGTACTTTCGCAGATCTGAAAAAAGTCAAACAACAACAACGACTTAAAATTAAAAAAATATACAAATCGAGCTCGTCGCCTTAAGCATCTTTATATCGAATGTGGCCTTTGCAAGCGGAACCGCAAACAGTCATAAATTGACTAGGAAAATGCACAATATTGCTGGTAGGACGTCGTTGGTAAGGAGTTTCATGAAAGACAGAGAGGTGTAGGGGATGAATTTTCTACGCGAAACAAACAGAAAATCAGGAGACGGAAGAAAGCGTACTTTTGTGTATAACGTCCACGTGCTTCTTCAGGGAGCCGCTGTGCGCGAAAGTTTTGCCACAAATTTCACACACACACTCTTCCAGATCTGCAAAAAAGCAAATACTGACAGTTTCATCGTCCACTTCGCCGATGTTCACCCTGTGTCCACGCAGCAGGGATGGTGACTTACGAGTGACTTATTTCAGTGTTATCAACGAACACCTGAAACAAAACTTACGAACTCACGACTACCCCTGAAATTCACTAGAGCCTAGCGAACCAAATAAGCAGGTGAAAAGACCTCACCAGTTTACAAGTACGTCCTCGTAAAAGTAGCGTTGTGATTCAGTGTAAACAGATGGATCAACACGGATAAAACCTCCTATATGCACACTAATTCAGACCTGCAAATACCAAACAAATAGTAATGCTCAAAGGAAACAAAACGTCTGTTTCTCATGCACCCAGTCAACATGTATTTTCTAACGAATAGAGAGTGCTAGGAAGACATTACTTGAATGCTAACCGAAATCAAAGTTTCACCTGCTCTGACCCACCAAGACACAGAGGTACCCCATTGCGCCTACCCTAAAATTAACTAATTACAAGTGCTGACTCACCAAAGGGAAGTCAGGGCAGTAGGCCTGCCGACGTACGTTATTGGGTTAAGCAATTTGGAGAATATATTACCAAATAATCGATGCTACATCCTCCTTAGTCAAAAAAATTTCAGAAAACAAAAAAATCGCAAAAACGCACGCAATGGATGCAAAACTGCTGAGCAGCTGCAGCGGCAAATCAGCAAAGGAGGGACAACTCACGCTTGTGGACACAGTTCACATGCTCCTTCAAACCTCCCTTCCATCCGAAGGACTTCTCACAAAACTCGCAAGTGTACTTTCGCAGTTCTGAAAGGGAGACAACTTTGAGAAGTCCGAACTGGTGACAAACAAGTGGATGAACGGGCCGCCAGTGTGAAAATGGGTTACCCGTTAGCACTATCCGGAGAGCTCACATGTATCGAATGCTGGAAGTGCTTCCAGCATATGTGCCGGATAGTGGAACGGCCTCCGGAAAGGGGTTGGCGTAAAATAAGCAGTCAACACAGGTCTGACTAGTAAGCAGCCGTAGACCAGCAGCGACAATACAATAGGGGCGCGCAGGAATGAGATCTGAAACGCGCACTACCTTTTAAAATGTCACACAGCTCGACGCTGGCACTGTGACATGGCTACCGTGAAACTGCCATTAAATAAGTTTGCTTGCTACCGGTGGCTTGCGGTTAGGCTTTTGAGCCACAGCACTAGAGGAGATAACCTCGAACAAACAACCGAGCAACTGTTGTGGACCCGTCTTAACTCAAAATTTTCAAGGAACCTCATCGGATATGTTCGACTACAGCATAACGACCTATGCTACTGCGTCCGCGGGGACCGGTGCGTTCTGCAAACTTGGTCCAGTGATGCGGGCGAACAGTATGTGAGCTGGACTACTCAATCGGGAACGAAACCTTAGTAGTGGATGCTGGAATGTGCGAATGTTCCTGAACCCTAATATCTAAAGGCTGACGAGGCGTAACCTTCATCAGTACAACGTGGATGTTTGCGGTCTGTCTTAAGTCCGAAATCCCCAATCGGGCGCTCAGGAAATAAAGATCCCGGGCGTCAACATCCACTTCACCCTGTGCCACAACAGTTCACGCGACTCTTTTGGTAAACACAGTGTGACGATTATCACTCCGAGTAAGCGGACCGTGCAATGATTAGATGGGAACCAGTCAATGACCGAATGGTTTACAAGCGGCTGGAAGGGTCACTTTATGAAGATATCTGACGTCCGAACATTGACTGCCGAACAGCGCGATTAAGATGCCCTCACAGTCACAAGCATTAGTTAAAAGACTCATATGCCCTGATCTCCTAATTGATGACGAGGACTGGAATGGTCGGACTGGACCCGGCGACCCTCCAAACGGTCACCTCACTAGCCGTTTTGAGCTTTGTCCTCGAGGCCACAACGGTGTGAGAATGCTGTATTTTGCTAATCAGCTCTCACCGTCTGTCACCAACACGTGCTTTCTGCATAACCACAAACATCTGCTTACCTGGTAAACAGATCGACTAGTCACTGGTGAGTCCTAAGTTTTGAAGATGGGTTCCCGACAGCAGATCGATGCGTGGTGCGGAAACCGGTTACGCCCATGGGTCGGACCACGTTCTCATTCGCACACACCTAAAAGTTCACCTCTAATCTGCATCAAAAATGCTACGTGAAAGACGCCTTTATGTCGCAAAACTTCGGCAACGCATCCCACCGAGGGCTGAGCACAGAAATCGGGTTCCGACAAAGCAGCCTGTAACGAATAGTAATCACTTAAGTCACCAAACTAGGGGGGAGGGGTAAGGAGACCCTTAGATTTCCCAAACGGCGCGCAGTGACTGGGTTAGCGGAACAAGACAGCAATTGTGTGCTGAGAAGGCTCGAGCCAGAGAGCTTCACGGTCCTTCCTTTCCGTCAACTCCCGAACACGACGGCAAAGCCTTCAAGACAATAATATCGTGTAAAAACAGCGATCGCACGGACCAGGGCTCAAAATGCCAAATTATCTCTGAGCTTAGTGGGAATTCTTTAGCGTCTCGAGGGTGTATACACCTTTGCCTCTGGCGAACGCGCCGTGCTGAAAATCATGTGATCACAATGCTTAAGCTGCGGAACTATACTCGCATACAGTCTCTGGAACAGCCAAACACAGGTGCCCACATAATCACAGTCGAACCAAATGCAAGCACAGGAGCTGGTGAACAGGAGCGTACTTTTGTGTACAACATCCACGTGCTTCTTCAGAGATCCGCTGTGCGTAAAAGCCTTGCCACAAGTCTCACACACAAAGTCCCGCATCTCTGAAAAGTGTAAATAACAGGCATTTAGTGCGGGAAATGCCCGCTAATTTTACAAAGGCAATTGCAGTGTAAACCGACAACCTATGTGAAATGTGCACGTTCGAAGCATTTCACACACTGTGAAGGGCCTAATAAAAACAACCGGCAAGTGGGCATTCACAACGTTTAACAATTCGAATAGTGCGCGAAACTTCCACAGGGGAATGGCTCTACTGTAGCAGAGGCGAAAGCAGACTCTGAGACAGGCTGCAAGACGCGCATATAGAACCATTCCATCCCTTCGACGACACTGCCCATATTATTCTTCTGTGAAAATAGCGTCATCTTCCGAGCAACAGGCAATGCCAGCTCGACAACCGCCAAGGACGATGAACCTTCAGGGTCCTTGCTAGTGCATTAAAACCCCGGACACTGCTCTACCTGAAAGTAGTCTGCATACGAAGAGGATAAAACAGGATTTGCGCAAACCACGGGGTTCATACAGCAAACCATGTGCACTCTTTGTTATACTCTGGCTTTAAATTCACGCACCACAGTGATCTGGGTTGCTTTCGGTTGGGATTTTAAACGACCCCTTTTCGCCGAGTAGACTGCATGAGCTGAACCATGACCTAGTAATTCTCAGGCCTACATCCTGAACAAACTCAAACTACAAAAGCATCTCGTAGTGCTGAATATGGAGGTGACAAATTTCACATGTTAATTCGTGTTTCCTCCTCTACCACAATATATATCGAAAACATAAACAACGAAATTCATTTGGGATATAACCTAGACAATGCTCCATCTACTACGCCCAACGCAAGTCATGAAGGGCCTGTAGGATAGCAGACACAATTTAACGAAGAACACGAGGAGTGAAGGCGTACCTCTGTGGATGCCGTCTATGTGCTCCTTAAGACTTGCCTTCCATCCAAAGGCCTTACCGCAGATCTCGCATTCGTACTTTTGCGGATCTGAAAAAAAGCAAAGCAAAGACGAATTCAGCAGAAACAATACAAACTCCCCTCTCCGTCCTACTCCTCTCCCTATCAAATTCGGCATTCGCCGGCGGAGCCGCAAACAGGCAAATAAATTGACTTATAAAAGAATTCAATATTGTTGGAGGACACCGATAGCAAGCAAGTTCGAGAAAGGCGAAGAGATGTAGCAGAGGAAGTGTCAGAACGACACTAACAGTAAGTCGGCAGACGAAAGAAAGCGTACTTTTGTGTATAACGTCCACGTGGTTCTTCAGGGTGTTCCTGTGCGTGAACGCTTTGCCGCAAATTTCACATGCCCAGAGTTTCAGTCCTGAAAAATGGCAAACGAAGGGTTAGAGTTCAAACGTCGACTTCAAACATTTACAGCCTGCCTCCCAAAGAGAGTTGACCGCAGGGGCGGCGACTTGCCGGCGAATTAGTCTGTAGTGGAAATAGACTTGCACTTCACCGGACGCACCCCCACCTCCCCCCAGAAACCCCAGTTCGCTTTCAAGATGGGTTCGAAAACTCCGGAGGCAGGATCGGGTGCAGTTGCTGACAGAGTGGGGGTCATTGCAGCCCGACCCTCAGTCTTGAGAGATCACAGTTATCCCATCGATCGGCAGACTTCCAAGCCACGACTTTTGGCGCGCAACGGACAGACAAGAGGAAGGCGATTAACTGGCATGATTTAGCCATGAGAACAACTTACTCTAACTCTGTATCTTAGGTGCCTTTGAGTACGAAAAGAACGCTACAGACGTAGAGATAGATTAACTGGCATCGGCAAACTGCAAGAGAGTTTGTCCGCTGATCATACTATTGCAACCCCTTCCTGTATAGAAGGAGTATATCGCGTCGTTTAATGTTACATACAGGAAATGGAATTTTGCATGCAACAGTAGGACTGATTTTGTCTAAATATTATTCGTGGACAAAACCACTGGTAGAAATACTTCACAAATCATTTGGACGGTCAATCTGGACTATATTTTGTAAGTCTGGACACAGTAAATCCAGAAGTAAAACGTAAAAACAAAGGTCTTGAGACGGCGCACTCCTTCAGACACCAAAATTCTATCTGAATCTCTGTCTAAACATGGATTCGAATGTAAATCCAGACGTTAAGCGAATAAAGCTCTTATTCTAGTGACCATGCCTTCTTCTACGCGACAGCACTGTGCCAAAGAATGTTTCTCTTTATCCACTGCTTACTTTGCTTGAGAGTTGTAGACCACTACTGCCTTCGAATAACAAAGGGCATAGTCAATCGTAAGATCCAAACGATGTTGGTAGCGGTCTCACCACCAGATTTAAGAACCTTGTGCGGATTTATGGGAGCCCGATCGTGTGCCCGACGGGAGTGGCTATAAATTATTAATGATTAGTCTCCCTATTGAACAATAGCACGTCCGATCACATTTAAACAAGGGCATTGGACACGGACAACAAATAACGGTCCAGGGCAGGATCCCCCGTGCAATGGGCATCGAAACCCTACGTCATTACTTAATGAGATAAAGGGACTGGCGAAAAACACGACTAAGTATACTAGCAACACAGCTTTCGAAGGAAATAACAGCCGGAAGCATTTGTACTTCCGCTCACTTCAAATTGGCCTATACACAGAAGCATCTTGCAATGCCGAATCTGAAGGTGACAAATCTTAAAAATTAATTGGTAACTCCTCGTCTACGACCATATCTATCAGGTGCCTAAATATGGAAGCCGGTATCAGATATAACCGAGACAATGCTCCATCTACCACCCTTAACGCAAATCATGAAATGCGTGCAGAACAGAATTGAACGAAGAGCGAGGACGGTAAAACAGTGGGAGGCAAAGGGGTGTACCTCTGTGGATGCCGTCTATGTGCTCCTTCAGACTTGCCTTCCATCCAAAGGCCTTACCGCAGATCTCGCATACAAACTTTCGCAGATCTGAAAAAAAGTCAAGTAAAAACGGCTTGGGTTGAAGAAATACACATTGCACTCTGCGCTACATTCGTCCACCTACGAATACGGCTTTCCCAAGCGGAACCGAAAAGAGGCATATACTGACCGATAAAAAGTATTAAATATTGTTGTCAGGATGTGGTTGGTTAGGTGGTCCAAGAAAGACAGAGGTTTACAAGCAGGACTAAATGAAGGACGCAAATAGTAGATCATCGAGCAAAAGAAAGCGTACTTTTGTGTATAACGTCCACGTGGTTCTTCAGGGTGTTCATGTGCGTGAACGTTTTCCCACAAATTTCACATGCACATTCTTCTAGATCTGAAAAGAGACAAACAGATAAAGACAGATTGACCATCGATTCCAAAGATGCACTCCGTGTACCCCACTGAGGATGGCCACAGGGAAAGTAACTGGCTACTAAGATAACTGGTAGGGGTAGCAGACTTCGGCTGCATTGACCACACTCTCCGTCCCATCACTGTCTAAGTTTCGGTCTACTCCCAGAATTGAGTATACTCTGCCGGTGTCCAACCTGGGTTTTGGGCATGAAAGATGAGCCCGCATGTACGGGATGGTGCAAAGGCCACTCACATGGGGTAGCCTTAAAATAAGCAGTCTCACAGGTCTGGCGAATAAGCAATAGCGGATCTGCTGCGACAATACAACGGGGCGCAGAGCCGGGGTCTGGAATGCCAACTGCCTGATAAAATGTATAAAATCCCATCGAAATCTGCCAGTCTTGTGCCGAAACTCTGGCGCCCTGGATCCATATGGTGGTTGACCAAGCGTGGGGAGATGAGGACGTTCCACATGACTAGGCACAGGCATCCTTGCCCCTGTCCTCGAGAAAGCAAATAACCCTTATTGCAAGAAGGACCGCTTCATCTAAGTTGCTGCGAGGATCCTCACTGTTGTCCTTTTCAGGCGATGTCAGGCTGTGCGAGACTGCAGGACAAGGCCAGACCAAAACGGATCCCCAGCTGGCTGTGGATGTGCGGACCAGTCATTTAAGCTTAAGCGCATTCTGAAATTCCGTCATGCCTACCAGCAACCGACGGTCGTCTGCCTTTCTGACTTCGACCCTGCGTTTGAGTGCGCCCATCAAGAGTCCCTAAAAAGAATTATGGAGGAAGATGGTGTGCCAGCTAAAATCATCTGCAGAACCATGACATACCATCGCCGCAACATTGTGTGAGTTCTCTTCCATAAAAACCTAAACTAACCATTCGATATCCAAACCGGTGTTCAACAAGGTCGCATTCTGCCGCTCACTATACCCAACTACAACACTGACTGGATTCTCTAAAGGGGATCCTACATGGATTCCATGGCGTTGAGTTCGCAACCGAACGCCCGCCGATTGATATAGGCTAAGCCGACGATCACACTGCTAGCCTCGAACTTTGGTGACCTACAGTCTGTGGTGCCGTGGACGAATAAGGTCACTACGTCGGTCGGTTTATCAGTAAATGCCGTGAAGATCAATTTGTTTTCAAGCTGAATTCCCGACCAGAATAAGGTGTCCATCGCGATTACTGACTGTCATCTTTGAAAAGTAGATAGTTTCAAATATCTACAGAGGAGGCTGCTATCCACTCAACGACACTGTCTCCAAAATCGGTCTTGCCCGCAGGCTTTTTTCAATCCTTAGACAGTACCCATGGACCCGATGTGACATCTCTATCGCCGCGAAACTGCGTGTGTGCAGTGCATCCGTCTGGTCAGTCCTCCGCTGAGGCTGTCAATGCTGGACATTGCGCATGAATGGGCGAAAACTGGAGGCATTTGATCCCCTGCCTGGAAATTATTCTTCAATAGAAGTAAACCGACTTCACCTCAAAACAGGCAGTCTGCGATCGCCATGACAATATCGCAAGGTGGTATCGCCAGCCAAGAAAGACAGCTAAAGAAGTTTCGGCATGTTCTTCGTCGTCCGCCTCATGTGCTCTCTGTTGCCACCCTCGATTCGCTGCTACCCCAGCCCCCTGCTCTGGAGGTGGCGAAGAGGAGGTATACTCAGGACCTGCCTCGACACAGTTCAATAAGACATGGAAGCAGTTCTGAGCCTACGGCGTATGGTCGCCCTCACTGGAGATGACAGGGCGGACAGATCAGGCATGATAACAGCCTTACCAATTGAAAGTACGAGAGCAGGTGAAGGGAAGCTTACTTTTGTGAACAACATCCACGTGCTTCTTCAGGGAACCGCTGTGCGTAAACGCCTTGCCACAAGTCTCACACACATAGTTCCGCAAATCTGAAAAGTATAAAAAACATCCACTTAGTGCAGGAAATGTCCGCGAATTCCCAGAAGCAATGTTTATACCATGTTTTATAATTGATGTGAAAAGTGTACGTTTTGAAGCAGTTTACACACTAGGGACGGTCTACTGAGGACAACTGGCGAGCGGTATACACGAAATTTAAACAATTCCAATAAGGCCCGCAAGCTTTGTATGGCAATGGCTAAGGCCGCTACAGAGGTGAGAGCGCAATCTGACACAGGCAATCGGATGGGGAAGCTTGCAATAAACACGTCCAAGTACTAACAACACGTTTCCAAGTAAATAACACCTGAAACTATCCGTTGTTTCGTCCCGTTTAATTAACAGACAAAGATGAATCTGATAAAGCTGTATCTGGAGGTGACAAGTCGCATAAGTTAATTCGTGTTTCCTCCTCTGATTAAGGAAACTAGTTGAATATAGCCTTGACAATGCTCTGTTTACAGCCCCCAAAGCAAAACACGAAGTACTTGCTGAATACTGCATATAATTTGATGAAAAACGCGAGCTTTAACCCGTAAGAGGGAAAGAGCGTACCTCTGTGGATTCCGTCTATGTGCTCCTTCAGGCTTGCCTTCCATCCGAAGGTCTTACCGCAGATCTCGCATTCGTACTTTCGTAGATCTGAAAAATTCAAGTGAAAAAAACTTGAGCTTTAGAAAAAATACAAATTGCACTCTCCGCCTTAATCGGCTTCCTATCGAATTCGGCATTCGCAGGCGAAACCGCAAGCAGGCATAAACTGATTAACAAGACGAAATGATAACAGGACTTTGTTGACAAAAAGCTTCTAGAAAGACAGAGAAATGAACAAAACGGATTATTTGAAGGACGCAAACCGCAAATCGACAGAAGAAAGTAGGCGTACTATTGTGTATAACGTCCACATGGTTCTTCAGGTTGCTCCTGTGCGTAAACGTTTTGCCACAGATTTCGCATGCACACTCCTGCAGATCTGGAAAAAAAAGAAAGACTGACGGCTTCAACGTCAACTTCATCCATGTCCACCACGTGCCGTACAGCAGGGTGGGCGCGTGGGTGACGATTTGCGAGTGAATAAGTTTGTAGTGAAAACTGACTTTCAATGCATCTACTGCACCCTTACCTCCCTCAAACAGTCCAGTTCGCTGCCAAGGCTGAGGTGAAAAGACCGGAGGCGGGATCGGGTTCAGTGGCTGAGAGCACTAAGTAATCCGCTTACGCGTGCACACACGACCTGGCACGCACACAGTGGACCAGGTTTTTTATGAAATACCAGTGGACGCCTCAGATCGCATCTCGTTGGGAGTGCCGTAGCGACCATATCAAAAAGGAACCATTGTAACCTGAATCTTAGTCCTGAGAGCTCATCACGGTTATCCCATCAATCGGCATACTTCCAAGCCACGACTTCTGGCGTGCGCCGGACAGACAAGAGGACGGCGGTTAACTTGCATGATTTAGCTACGAGGACAGTTTATGATAGCTGTGTCGCAGATGCCATTGTGTACGAAGTAAACACTACAGACGTAGAGGCAGACTAACTGGCATCGACATACTGCTCATACTGTTGTAATCCCTTCCTGTATAGCAAGAATATGTCACGTCACTGGACGAGATATAAAGCAAATGGCAATTTGTGCGGAATAGTGAGACGGATTTTGTCTGTATAATATTTTTGTGGATTAAAACACTGGCGGGCAAATTGGATAACTGTGGTCAACAAGTCTGGACACAGTAATCAAAATAAGTAGTATGTAAAGCGGAACAACCCTTAGCGAAGATTAACCGCGAAGCACTGCGAACCAGAAACAAAATACTACCAGGACGTGGAGGGCTCTAGTTTGGCACACCGAATGCCTCATAAAGTATGGCAAGGTCCGGTAACAGCACCATGACAGAAGGATCGTAAACCTTCATTAGGTATTCCTGCTTGCCACCGAGGCCTAATTAAGGCGGATTACAAGCTGAACGTGGAGGCTCGGACCAGATTTTCCCATTGAGGCGTAGTCTAGAATTTCGTCATGGTTGCCTACATCCATGGAACTCGTCTTTGCGACGAGTAATTGTTGCGTGAGACGGGCTACCTGGGGAAGTAATAGCGGTAGACTTAGCAGACACATTTAAACAAAAACTGAATGCATATTTACCGGCAAAATGCCGCCCAATTTGACAGGAAAGTTCCGTTACGCCAACCCAGCACTTTTCACAGACCTACCGTTAGTGCGGATGACTATTATTACATGTTAAACATTACCGACCAAATATATTTGGCAAACTGCTACTGACAACGTTTTAGTAGGATGCTTGTTTGAAATGGAATATTGCATGTGCTGTTTGTAACAGGGTCTCCGAAAGCATTGTCGAATACCCTTAAATACACTGAACTATGGTGAACTGAAGGCCTCCCAACAGTTCGATATCAGATCGAGTGTTCCACACGGTCGCATCCTGTCGCCCTGACGCCACTGGCTAGACTCTTGGAAAGGAACTACGGGTTTTTTGACGGTATCAAATTTGCACCATCACGCAGGCTGACTGATCTAGACGACGCTGAAGACAACGTCTTCCTGGCCGCAGGCTTTGGTGATCTCCAGTCTGTGTTGTCACGGGCGAATGAAGTCAATAGCTTAGTAAGTCTATCCATAAAAACTGAAAAGATCTCGGGGACAGAGCAAGGACGGCACTGTCTCCCGAATAGATTATGTTCGTGGAGTGATATCAGTTTTCTAAAAACACCTCTGGACCCAACGCGACATCCCTATCGCCACGAAGATCCGCGTGTACAGTACATCAGTCCAGTCGGTCCTTCCCTACGGTCTTCGATGCAGGCCTTTGTGCATGGACGATAGATAAAAAGTGGGCGTATTTGTTCCCCGTTGCTTAGGAACCATCCCTTAACTGAAGCACGCCAACTTCGTCTCAAATCAGGCAGTCTGCGTTCGCCGTGACAATATCGCAAGTACACATCAGGTCAACTAAGAAAGTCAGTCAAGGAAGTTTTGGTAGGTTCTTCGTCGTCCGCCTCACCATCCCAGCCTTTCCCTCGACGTGTTGAAGAGGAGGTATACTCAAAGCCTCTCCCAACACATATTGTCCTAATGTGGAACTGGATCTTGGGCCTTCGGTATTCGGTCTCCCTCACTGGTGATGACAATTGGCCGAGCTGTCCAGATCCGTTGCCCCAGATAGTCAGGCTTGGAGAGGTTAAGTACGAGACATCGTTGTGACCGGACAGATTAAGCAGAATTGCAGCCGTACAAAGTTAAAGTACAGGAACAGGCGAACGGAGGCGTACTTTTGTGTACAACATCCACGTGCTTCTTCAGGGAACCGCTGTGCGTAAACGCCTTGCCACAAGTCTCACACACATAGTTCCGCAAATCTAAAAAATATAAAAAACAACCAGTGCAGGACGCGTCCGCTAACGTTGCGGCAGAAATCGCAATACAAATTTGAAAATCGAAATGAAAATGTATGTTTGAGGCGCTTTATACGTCACATATTGCCTGCCGATGATATCCAACAAGTGGGCATATATAACATTTAAAAACTTAAATAGCGCGTACAATCTGCGCATGGGAATGACTGATGCTGCAGCAGGTGCGAAACTACACTCCGACACGGACCGCAGGATACGCATACCAAACAGCTCCACACTTCCTATGACACTTCCCTCACTCATCTCCTGTAAAAAGGATGCCACCTTCCAAAAACTACCATCTCCGCAAGCCCAGAAATGCAACAGACAACGACAGCTCGACAGTCACCAACGGCGACGAAGCTTCAGCGTCCTTGCTATTGTACTTACATCTCAGACATTGCTCTACCTGGAAGTAGTCTGCATACGCAGGGAGAAAAACCGGACTTCTGCGAACCCGATCCCTTCAAAGAAATATTCAGTTTCCTTAATTCGCACATCCACTTTTAAGCTACCACAGTGACCTTGATTGCTGACGATGGCGTTTTTAGATGACCTCTTTTCCCTGAGTCGACTGCATTTGCTGAACTGTGGCTCTGCCCTTTTTAGGCTAATTTCTTAGGCGATTTTAAACTACAGTGTATTTATTGCTCATACTTCTCGCTCGGAACTGACAGAATGCAGGCGACGACGGGGCGAGGCGGAATTTCTCGATGCCAACGCATGTTGCCGTAAACGCTTCTGGTCGGAATATCACGAGGATGTTCTGCACAATGCGCGTACGGCCAATACAGGCGATTCAATGGAAAATTGCATTCCGCAGTAGTAGATTACAGCTTTGGCACAAGACACGCATTGCAGTGATACTTTAAAGAGCGTTCCCTCATGACCCGCTTTTTTCAGATGGACTGTACACTTTAGGTGGCGGAGATCACAGCACGCGTCAGCTGTGAACGCATGACTGATCTGCTTAGCAAGAACCTTGACTCTCTTTTAAGACGACTACTCAATTGTTGTTAGACGTTTTCCGCAGCAGAACTTTCCACCCTGACACTCGCGTACGAGCCTCTGAATTTAAGTAATGCCTGGTTGAAATTGCAGGCGTTCCCCTCTAGTCGGAAAAGGTCGGTCACGACTACCGGAGAACCCGCAATGGGTTAAAACCAGAGTCTGTCTGCCGATGCGAGTTGCTGTACTAGCTTCGAAAAGTAAGCGGAAGCAAATCTGAGTGGAACCCAGCTAGGAAATATAGTGTGTGTGATTAACGTGTTCCCATTGGTCGAGCTCCGGCTGCTCCCATAGGCAGATCTGTCGTGCGTTGCCGGTCTCTGGAGGTCACGCATAAATCGGCCTAGAGCCTATTGCTGACTTGCGCGCGGATTGACCTGGAGGTTGGTGATTCACTGTTGGGCGCGGACAGCTGGATGGAGCGTCACGTTCTGGGTCGTCCTAACGAAGTCAAGAATGAAGTTTGCCGGGACTGAGAAAGTCGATTCTATGTACCCAGCCTCAGCTCCTTCATTGACCGCGGGCACAAGTTAGATCCACAACAACCCCAAAATAAATAGTTTTTAATAAAAACCGAAAACTACATTTTGTCTACTATGGAGAACGCACCACAAGTTGTTAGTCGACATAAATTCGAGGCGACAGATGGTTATTTTATGCAGCCAAACCGTCAGAGTCTATATTGACTATTTGGCAAAGGGGTCAAAGACAGCTCTGAGTAAAAGTTTTTTCAATTTGCTCTTTTAAGCAAAATTGGGCGTGTGTACAGCAGATATGCTATCTCATGAAATGTTAGCCAACATTCTGAAACTCGTTTCCGACTCGAGAAGATTACTCGACCAGGGTTGCCGTATTAATCAGCGTGCAACATAATCCTAAGAAAATTCAGTTACTTCAGGATGCCGGCTTTTGAATAAACTTCTTTCCAGCCGTCTGTAAAGCTGTATTCTGCAAAAAATGACTACTTAAGCAGTATGAATTTTTCTCGCTGGTTTTTGATGCCCAGGACAACGCAATTGACCCCCGCCAAGTGAACCATAATTCCAAACCGCCTGTCTAGACAGCCTCCACCCATTCCCTCACCACCCCTGTACACTGGTTGCCTGTTACCTTCAGCTGTACTGTACCGGCTCGATGACGAATGATCAAAAACGAACGATTGCTTACGTTGACTCCTTCAGATGAGATATTTCATGTAGATGAATAGGGGACCAACTCCATGGAAAAGAAATGCACAGATCGTATCCTCCGACTGCAATCCAGAACGGTGGGACTGAATTATATGGCTACCTGAACAGGACATGTGGCAGGAGCCGCCTGCAATAGAGGTGGCTTTCGATCAAATTCCAGTAAAATTAAGGTTAACTTTAAGGGTTACGGTTGGGGTTGGGTTAAGGAGTAGGTTGGAGGGCATATTTAAAGTTGACGGTGAGGTAAGTCAGGTTCAAATGTAGGGCTAGGGTAAGGAGCTAGTGGGAAATTCAGAGCTAAGGTTTAGGGTAGGGTTAAGACTAGGGCAACGATTTGGTTTTATATTAAGGTTATTGTTGGAGTTAGGACACGGGAATATTTCGCCCCTTCCGAAATTATGTGCAGATCTACCTTTACTACTTGGGCGGGACGGTCCTATTCCCATGTCCTGTTTACGGGCCATATAAGTCAGTCCCACCGTCAGAACGTCTGCGCAGCAAGCACTCCCAAAAATGCATTTGCCGAAAGTGCAATATGAATACTGCTGGCAAAGCACGACCAAACACCTCTAGGTGTGTTAAATGGAACATATAAAGCAGCGGCATATGCACAATGAATTAAACCTTCCATGATATGCGCAAGAAATAAGCAATGTCTTCCTCAACTATGTCATCAATGTGAAGAGGATCAGGGAAAAGGAAGTTGAGAGTGGACTTAACAAATAGCTGGAAGTATAAATCGATAACGGAGAAAAGAGGCGTACTCTTGTGAATAACATCTACGTGCTTCTTCAAACCTCCTTCCCATGCAAAGGCCTTGCCGCAAAACTCGCACGTGTACTTCCGCAGCTCTGAAAGATGAAAACGCTGAAATCTTTAGGACGAAAGACTTTTGTAGTCTAATAATAAAAGCTGATTTGTGAGGATAAAACCGCAAACAGGTGCAAATCAGTGGATCAAAAATGTCTCATTGTGTGCACCAAAAATAAATCCATTTAAAAAACGAGACGGCAAACTAATGAGTGAGAGGATACCTACTCTTGTGTATAGCGTCGACATGGTTCTCCAAAGATCTGAGTTGCGAAAAGATCCTGCCACAAATCTTGCACGTAAACCCTCGCAGATCTAAAAAAACCAAAACAGCAAAATATGTACATTGAGTAGAAAGTACCCAGTAAGTTAAATTTTTCTGAAAAGAGAAGCTCTGCTGCTGCTGCTCCTCTTGATTAGGGCTACGTTATGATAAACAGACGATGACAGAGTAGTGAAAACGGACATTTCTGCAGACCCTGCATTCATCGGCAATACATGTCAATGGCAATAGTAACTTCGTCTTTCTTTCACAGTTTCCGCCCTACTTGAAATCTTCAGTCAACCGCACCCAGTCCCAGGTTTGGAAAACATGGAGTTCAAGCCTGGGATGTTTGATCACTGAGCGTGTAAGCTCAACGCGCTACCATTAAGCCACGGACCGATTGTAATGTCGGCTGTGATTGGAAATATCTACAGTACACGACGAATCTCATGAAACCTGATGACAAAAACCGATCAAGCAATGTTCGGACGACTTAAGTTTTGCGCATTTTTCTTGCTCGTACAGCCGCCTTAAGAAAATGCCCTTTTCTTGCACAAAAATGTGTCCACGTAATTTTGTCAAGCAAAATGTTCATAAATCAACCAGTATTTATATGGCAACTCTGTCGTGCATTCATAATCGTAGAGCACAGCCTAAAAGAGAACAAAAATAGCGAAAATGGATGCAATATACGGAGACAGACATGTTCTTACATTTTCAGTAGCAAAATATCAGTATTTTTAGCAACATGAAAAAAACGGCCAAGTGTCCAACTTTTCCTCGGCTTCACCGACATCCGTCAACGGAATTCTGCAGTAAAACACTCCTTAAAAAGTTAACTTATCATAAAGATAGCTTTCTAGTAAATCGAAGTCATGTTCGCTACTGATGTTTTTTGTAGGCGTTCATTTTATTCAACGACGTGGTTGTGTGTTCAGCTGAACCTTCAAAGGTGACCCATACGATGTTCTACATGAAAAAGAACGTGCAAACACTCGCAACTTCGGCAAATGCCTCCAAGAAGTATCTTATTTTTAGGGTTTTAATAAACACAGTGCAAAATCTGTCTTCATGAGCAGCCGATTGGAAACTATGAAAATCACTAAGTACTCAGCGATATTTCAAGGCCGATCTGAAAATCAGCGTAATCCAGGATAGACAAAACTACAAATTAACTTTATGGAAGAAAAGGTCTCGTTGTTTACACAAAATGGCATGTTTAAGATTACATCTATCAATTCTATTCGAATATGTTAGTCACTGACCCGCGTGATAACATGCGCCCTTGTGAAAACTGTTGCTCCTTTGACGTCCCTATAGGCGAAATCAATTAAAATACTGTTTGCCTTACTGAACCGCATCTCAATCGATTCAAAAGAGTAAAGAATACCATGAATCCTTTAAAAACCGTTTTGAAATCAATATTCAAAATGTAAGCTGTTGGCAAACCGCCCTACCTGAAATTACATCAACTCTTAAAGGATAATTATGTTCAAACTTTACCGAAATATTATTTCTAGAGGTCAATCTAGTTGTGCTGTCTTATTTACCCATCGCTTCGCATATATAGGCTTTCTGCACATCGAGAATTAAATTTTACACAATTCTAACCACTTTTGACATTTTCGGGATTTTCCGCTTTTTAAAAAAATTCGTACTTCTAAACAATGTAAGATTACTCTTAGCATTCCCTTTATGTTTTTAATTCCCGTAAATCTATAATCCACTAACTTAGATTTTGGATTCACGCATTGGTGTCGGTTTGGGAGTGATTGGTAATCATTCGTAAATTTCGACACCTTTCATGGGTTAGGTCACACACTGTAATACCGTAGTTTGGACGTTCGCCGATCAAGTCACTGAAGGAGCTCGTCTCTTTGTCCCTTTGGTGCACAGCTACTGGACGAATAAGGTAGCCAGGAGGCACATAAAAGAGCGGGCCTTGCTAATTCACTCAAGAGTAACATAAACGGGAAAATTACTGGAGTAGGGAAGCAGTGGTGGAGTGAGTGTGGACACTTACTTGGGTGCATAATGTCCACATGCCTCTTCAGGGAGCCTATTTCCGCAAAGGTACTATCACAGCCCCCACATTTGAGTTGGTTCGGATCTAAAGAAGAAAACGGTAAAAAGTGCGCTTTCTTTTTGTGTGGCTGGTTTTCACAAACATTAAATAATCGACATACCAGGTTTGAAAAGGCATCACCGGCTCTCGATCAGTGAAAAGACATGTCATACATTTTTAGGCCAACATACTAGAAGCAGTAAGTATGTGGGCATAAAAGACTTCAACAGTTAAAAGGAAATAAATATGCTGCATAAAGCAGATCCCTATGACATGCGGCTTCCTTGGCTTTCTTTTCTGCGATCGCCGGAGAACCAGTTGACGATTCGAACCCCCCTCCCCATAGCCTTCCTGTAACTGCCCGCATATTTCGGGCCCCGGATAGTCGTGGTTGGACACCTTCGAACAAGTAACCTGTACCTTCCGATAAATCCTGTGAGTACTGCGGAAAATATCCCAACTTCTGAAACTACGGCACCCCAACCTACCGATATCGGATTAAAATGTAGCAGTCTATGCCGACCTGCCTATCTCTGCTGCGGTTGTGGTTATAACGGGCGGCAAAACATGTGACACCGAACGCTGAGCCTAGGCGTTATCTGAGTCTAATGATGCCAAGTAACTGGGTATGGCTGTCGTTTAGATTCGGCAAAAGTGGAAAGTTAAAGCTGGGAGAGCAAAAACGCAAAACTCACATAAACGACGGTCTTCCTCGGAATCGCCCACGGGTCCCTCGTAAGTAGGTTCATCTGCCTCGGGCTTCACAATGCAATTGGCTATCAAAAAGAGATAGTGTATAAAGAGCAGAGACAAACCTGAAATATTGTCCTTTATAACCGTCCCAACGCCCATTGTCATGGCGGAAATAGACAAGCTGCCGTCTTCATTTAATTCTCCCACAGACATGCTTGAGGGGACCGGCAGCATTCTTTCGGTAGTCTTAGTTGCCAAACAGCACGACGTTGGAGACGGTGGAGGTTGACACCCGTCACTGCTGCCTGCTCCTTCGCATGCACTGAATCCGGATTCCTGTTGGGGAAAAATTAGACGGCATTGACACTATTCAATCAAGTCAACCTCATGTATAGTAGGCGGACTAATTCAGGAAGCGTCAACCGAAATTCCGAAATGAGTTTTCGCCTCGAAAAGATTAATTAAAACTAATTAAGTAAAACTAATCATGATGAAGAACAATTCTACAGTAATTCTGTTACCTCTGGATGCCCACTTTCGAACGAACTTCTTTCCGGCTGCAAAAAAAATAAACTCTGGAAAAAATGACTACTTAAATAACATGCAATTTTCCTATTGATTTTCGATGTCCTGAAAAGTTCAGTTATATTTCAGGGAAGCAGGCATACAAATATTTATTATTTTACTCATTCGGCAGAAAATTACGTTTTCCTTCACTTTTCTACTCGAAGAAAGGGTATAATTGGATTTTCAAAAAACTTTTTCAATGTCGGAATAATTTTGAACCAGACCTGCCGTTACACTTGCATTCAGGGTTCCAAACTACAGGCCGTACACTTTTCGCGTACGAAGAACTATACATTTCTCCACGGCATTAAGTGGAGACCATATGGTGTTCATAAAATGTGGCAGTAGATTTGAGCCATATTGTTGATTTTACAAGCCACGTTGGTAAATGCAGAGACATGACGTCTTATGAACGGCCATTTCACGGTATTAAAAAACCTCACAACTAGGAAATTTCGCAAAACCGTATTATAACCTTTTTTCGGGTACCGAATTGAAGAAGGACAAAATTGGTTACCGAATGAGTAAAAGCATGATGTTTTATATGAAATATAACAGAATTTTAAGGGCATCGAAAATCAATGAGAAAAATGTATGCTAATTAAGTAGTCAATTTTTACAGAGTATAGTTTCTGCATGCAGCCGAAAAGAAGTTCATTAGGAAGCCGGCATCCCCAGGTAACTGAATAATTATAGAATTATGCTGCAGAGTTATTAGCTCTGCAACACTACTTAGTAAATCTTTTCGTAACGAAAACGCATTTCGGAATTTCGGTTGACATTTCATGAGTCAGCCCACCTACTGTAGGCTCAATTAAACTTTACAAGTCGATTTACCCGGAATGAGTCGGTAACCTAAAGCCAATACAACTATGTCACGTAAACACTAAAGATTACCTTGCAACCTATGGGTGAGCCATCCTCATTGGCAGTCACTTCTTCCTAAAAAATAAAAACATTTACAGGAAATACTAATGACAGAGGAACAAAATCTGTACTTATAAAGTGGAGGTACATGCTCACAAAGAAACCATCAGTGTTAGCAAATAAAGTCAGCCCGCGTGTCGATCATTTTTTGAACTCTTGGAATAATGAATAATCTCAAATGAGCGGCGTGGGTACAATCCTTATAAGCTGATTCTCGAGCTCGGAAGGACTTTTAATTTACCTGGGAGATTTCCAGGACTACATTATGCACGACTTCCTGACACGGCCCTCTGCTCGCCTCGTTTTACGCAAGCTTTACCCACGTGCTTCATATGCCTAGTCAATGCTCGTCTCCATCGTGATTTTGCCAGCTAGGGGAAACACTGCAAAAAATCTAGTTTCCCGCCTTCGGGCGGAGACGTCGGTGCACCGGTCACAGAGCTTTCTAATGCAGTCAGTACGGTCACGAGCACTATTTCGAGTATCACCGTTACGTATTTTGCGCACCTTGCAGGAGTTAACCAGTATAGAAACTGCATTGACGCAGCAAAATACAGGCCTTCCTAATTTGAGTTTTTCCGCCCGTAAACAAGGCAAATTCATAATGGCAACCCTGTTTTACTGCCTGATTCTCCACAAGCTGCATTTGATCATCCTTGTTTGGTAAGCAGCTCTCGGTGATTGGTTTTGGACCCAATACAATGTAGAGACAGTACGCCATTATTCTGGAAACTTAAGAGTCCTACAAATGGTCTACAGTAAGCGAGTCAAAAATTCCCTGCATATTACTTCCAAATGAATTCAAATCATCAAACGAGCCCGGAATTATAAGCAGGAAAATTGAAGGTAAAAAACCAATCTAACTTACAAGTTTTCTTCCTACGAGACTTAAATGACTACATACCAGCCTAAGGTGATGGCACCGTATCAAGTAGATCTCGAATATTCATTAACCTCAACCTCTAAGTTGCTTTGGGGCTAATATTGGCAAAATGTTTAAAGTTAAGGACTACGCAATGGTGAGCAAAGACCCACCATATTATTATTTATGCGAGTTAAGCTTTACGTCAGAATGATGTCATTAAGAGTTGATGACGGGGAACACAACGCGTGCCAAACGCTTTTTGGGTGCCATGAGAAAAGCAAATCAACTGATCAAGTAACAGCGTAATTAAATTTCCTGAAAATCTCGGTATCATGAACGAGGCAATCGGGCTGCCGAAAATCCTCGCTTTCGTAAGCTTTTGTATACGCATTTCTAAGGAGTCCAGTTACTCAAAAGTATACGTTTTGAGCAGACTTGCTAAACCATAAGGAAACTTAAACTATGTGTGCGTGGCCGCATCACACCTAACCGGACGAATAAAAGTGATAACCCAAGGGCAGTCTACAGCGGATCCCTGAAGGACAGTCATTGTGGGCAGGAAAATGCAGACAGAGCACAAAGTGTAAAGTGTATAGGGACAAGTCTTTTTGAAACCATGTTATCAATAAAAGTCTTATTTGATCAAGTGACGTAACTACACAACTCGATTAGCCCCGATAGTATAACCGAGCTACTTTTTGGTCGCCGCAAGGGCAAATCAGAACTGCGTAGCAGTGGGCACTCTGATTAACCCAGACAGTAGCCCTCATCCAGTAAGTAAGCCGTGGCGATGCGAGCGTACCTGTAACGCACCATGAAACTGGGTGTGCTGCCTAATTGGCATGAGGAACTTCACTTAGGCACGGCCCCAGGACGGTGATGCAGCAGCAACTTTGGAATAAACGTAACCGGCAACTTGGCAGCAACGTCTTACAAATGACTACAGGTTTGCGCCACAATTTGCTACACTGGAAGTGATATTGAAGTCAAGGGAAACAGTTACGACGTTTTTTTCGGCATCAGGCCTCTCGGTTAAGAAGTTTAATGCGGTCAGGAAATTTGCAAGACGGAAGAGAGGGAAAGCACATGCATCCACAGGGAATGTTTTTAATTATATTCCATATTAAGCTATATAAATGAATTCGAAGGCAGGCGTAAAATGATACGCAGCAACAAACAAGTGCGGGACGTTGACAAAAGACCATAAAATGAGTAGATATTTAGACAGAATAGTTTGGACTGCGAAAAGGACTAAGAAAGCCTATTTAATTCCAATAAGCGGTAAAGAGGATAGCATGATAGAACGGGAAAGTCATTTTTTGCTTCAGCAGTCTTGCATCTAATATATTAAAATCGGAATTACGCTTGTATTCATTATTTTGGAGTTAAGGTGTGGGACTGCTCTGAAAACCAAGGTCTATGGTTTGGCTTTTTCGTATTTGTTAGCATATGCAAACTAGAAAGTGGGGGTCTCCCGGAAACCTTGAAGAGAGAACTAGGGGTTGTAGAGCTAATAAATGGACAAGAGTCGTAGACTTAATATGGTGTAGGAAGCGCAGCAATTCTCCAGTGTGACTGACAGCAGGATATTTGCGCGCCATCTCGGGCGAGTTAGAGGGAGATTGACAAGTTCAGACAGCGCTCAGCCAGGCCCCTAGCCTCGGAGGCATTTTCACACACGTACGCGCAGAAGTATCAGCTGCAAGCGTAACGCCAGACCAATGACTAGACCGTCGGGTACACGTGCGCCAGTTAAGTACAACATCTTGCATCATGGAGTTTGCGTTCGCAGGCATGCATCGAATACGCTGTGCGTAGCTAAAGTCGTGTCCCTTGTCAAGCCACTAACGAGAGGAATTGTCGGGTCCTAACTTAAAATCAATTACGCATGTTCACTCCAGCCAGGCATTGAAGTGTAGTGACGGGGGTCAGAACTAACGAGCAAATTAAATGTTGGTAATCGTTGGGGAGGAAGCTTGGAACTAACTATCCTTTTCTTGCGAAGGCTAAACACCCTCAGCCAATTAAATAACTAACCTTACATTAGAGCGTAAATAAAAGCAGCTAAAAGATGCCTAGCCCAGCCGGGCGCCTAGAGTGCAATCAGAGTATTGGAAGTCGAAAAACGAAAGGGGGAGAGGGTTCTGTAAAACGGTGCAACTAATATATATTTTTGAAGGGTGTTACAGAATTTTAAGTAATTAAATTTAATATACCGCTAACGTAATAAACAATTAATGGTTGCCGCTTATCTGCCCAGATATCTGACAGGTTTAATTTTTCTAATATAATATGCGCAAATCTGTAACTGCAAGAATTTATGCAGCAATTAATCATTTGTATTTTGTCTATGAAACCAATTTTTCAACGATAAGTCGTCCCGCCAAAGCTGATTTGGCCTTCAGTTAATAATTTAAACAATACACTGTCAATAAGATTGTTTAAAACAAAACCGGCTTTCGTAATAAAGATTTTACTTAAAAAGTCGTAATCGTGTGAACAGCAAGTTTTGTCTACTTAAGGAGCTTATAGCGGAAAGGAAATATTATTTGCATGATGTTCACTAGCCACCCTGTACATATTTCCTGACCCATTTCCCACTCAGCTATTATTCATGAAGATATCATATGCCTGTAGCATGACGAGTTGGCGCTGCGAAGGCCCTTTTGTGGTGTACTGAAAGAGCTCAACATGAGTTAATTAGATTCCCTAGGCCTTCAGGATTTTAACCTTTCACATTTCTACTTGGGACAGACAACGTACGATACGGCGAACGATATCGTAAACAGGCTGTAATAAAAGGGACAATGGAAGCGTCTCCTGCTCTTTTTTCAAGTCCGAGTAAATGGGGTCCTAGGAATCACCTTTATCAGCCTCGACCATTCCGTTCGACCAACATTAACTTTCCTGCTAGCACCGGGCCTCCTTGCCTCTTCTGCTCCCAAGTGCTTTAAGGAAATACAACGGCCTGCCTGAATGCAGTTTTTCCCTGAGTCGATCAGATGTGTCGAATAAATCGTCCTCCCTATTGCACGTCGGCCAGAACCCTAAATAGCTTATGTCATCCACAAGAATACTACACAAACTGGTTTGTTTTAATTAAGTTCCTTCTTCTATTCAGCTGCCATAACGCCTCCCAATCGTCCCTGCCGGACTTACGTGCCCCGATCAACCGATTGCAAAAGTAGACTGTTGCCCGCCTGTGAATTAGACTTTGTCCAGTCATAGTCAGCCTGCACCCCATTGTCACGCGTTACGACTCAATACGGGCGATCGTCATTTCCGTAGACGCTTCTATCTAAGTGGTTAGTGTACATGAAGTCACGATGTTTTACACACCGTTCAATTCCCATTTTATATTGTTGACTGAAATCAAACCTTTGCATTCAATTTTCTGTTCGGACAGAGGAATTTCTTACTATTCAACTTCAACGATGAGCAACCATTTTCATTTGCTTCGAATTTGACACCAGACACAGCCACGATGCCGACTCTAACCTCAATGACGCTCTTTCACATCTCCCATATGATTGCTAAGAAGCTTAAAAAGAAAATATTGTTGCTGTCATTTTGATCGACGGCTCATGTTTTTACTGAGTACAATTTCAGATCATAACACACAGGTCTGCTCTATAGCAGTCACTTTTAGTATTCAATGGTACGTAAATGACCTACAAAGTTATATTCCGGGATGTAGTTTGGTCATATTAGAAAAGGAATTCGTCAGTCTACGAGGCCTTATCCCCCACAGCAGCGCGTTGATACTTCCCAAGTTGACATACTGACAGGTACGTCTTCGTTTATCAAACAGATTTGCAAACATCCTCTACCGCATATCCGTATATTATCGCTCTCATCAACTACAATTAACTGCATTTATTGAACTTGCCCCGCCTGGCCTCCTCCATCCACAGGGGTCAAAGGGGCTATGATCGTCTCGTAAATATAAATTCTGCCTTGAGTCGACTCCCCCAGCAACCCATAGTAAGCTTAATCAGGTGTCTAAGTCAAAGGCAAATCCAATTGCTGTCTCAGCCACTCGGACACCCGATAAATACAGCACCCTTGTAAAATCTTTTCGTCCACTATCGGCTAACAGTGCCTCAAATACCCCGACTCAAATCGTAGCGTGTTCACATCTGCCCCCCAGCCCTCATATCGAGGCATTTAGGCCGAATATGCCGATTTTTCCGCCGTTTAATAGAACTCTTGCTCCAAAGGAAACAATGCGTCCCCCACCCCCAACTTGTTTCCTCCACGGCCGTTTTACCAATTTATTCCTCATGATAATTTCCATACTGAATCAGTTAATTTATCCGATCCTGAGTTTCTTTCCGGCGAGAATACGTTGCAGTATCTGCCCCGCGGGTTTCCAGCTGAAAATAAGTTAGCTAAATATGGTTACCAGTTCACCTGCCCGGCATTCCCTCCTCCAAGTCCTACCCCTTTTTATCCACGTCAGAATTTTTCGATGCCACAAAATATTTGGCAGAACCGGATGGTTGCATCCGGACCGTTTGCTCCGTGGGCAGCCCAGAACTGGACGATGTAGCCCACTTCCCTAAGAAACAAACAGCCTTTCCCATCAAACTTTTTATTTTAAATGCCAGATCCTTGCTTAATAAGATGCCTTTGTTTCAGACTCTGGTGATCGTCCATTGTCCAGATATTGTTTTATTAACTGAGATGTGGGCATTTGCCTCACTAGCTGACTCCGAACTCTCGCTTCGAGGCTACAATTGCATTCGAAATGATCGCCAAGATAGCCGTGGTGGGGGCAGCCGCGTCTACGTTAAGCAGACACTTACATTTTTGCCGTTGGAACTCCCGCATTTTTCCGCAGTAGAAGGCAGCTGCTGGCTCCAGGTTGCACTAAAAAACAAGTTCTCCTTACTCGTTGGCTGCGTCTATCGTCCTCCCAACGCCAACGACAATTTTGATCGTTTACTCTCACAGGCATTTCATGCTGCGGCCGACTCAAGCTTTAAGTATCAACTGGTTGCGGGTGACTTTAATCTTCCCGAAGTCCGCTGGTCTCCGCCTTCAGGCCGCAGAAGGTTCGAAGACTTTCTTGAGGCTGTAGATGTTGGGATGTGGCATCAGGTTGTCGATTTTCCCACCCGAGGGTCAAGCATACTTGACCTACTTTTCTGTAGAGGCTGCTTGCCATCGTCAGTGTCATCCCTAGGCCCACTTGGGGGCTCAGACCATGACATAGTTGTTTCAACGTTGGAATTCGAGGCTGACGAAATTTCGTCCAAAAAGTATAACTTTTTCCACAATTTCCGATCAACTTACTCAACCGAATTATTAACACACCATATTTCCTACGACTGGATTCATTTCTTCCTTAGTTCGGATGTAAATGTTTGCACTGCAAATCTGTACGAAATTTTGGATCCGCTTATTTCTCGTTTTGTCCCCCGTAAGAAAATTATTAATGTTGGGGTTGAGGTTTTCCTACCCTTACCCTTTCGTCGCAGATTGCGCAGACTTTATCGTCGTTTCCATCTGCAGAACGATGTTTCTGTTCTGCTCCTGATCTGTGATATTTTTGATCGAGCTAAGAGATTGTCTGAAGAAAAACAGCTAGCCGAAGAGGTCCAGTTTACCGAAAACCATTCGTTAAATGTCTCGAAACCTTTCTCTAGAAAAACACGATCTCATAGAAAGACGCAGCATCCCATCCTCCGAGACGCTCTCGGAATTCCCATAGTTGATGCCCAGTTAACCGCTGATAGCTTCAATGATTTCCTGTCCAAAACGTTCATTGAAGACTCGACCACTCCGGTTCCGACATCCAGCCATTGACCGGGGCACTTCTAGTAACTATAACTTTCCCTCTGTGGGATGTGACTGTTGCGATTCGGCGCTTTCGTTAATCTTATAGTCCAGGCCTTGATGGTGCCCCAGCAAGTATTTTTAAAGCCGATGCAAATACGATTTTCCCATCCCTCTTATGCAAGTTATTTAATCTTGCTCTTGAAACTGAAACCTATCCTAAATTGTGGAAGGAATCACACATTCTGCCCATTCCTAAGCACGGCAAATCTACATCATTTGATGACTTTCGGCCAATAAACACCCTCCCCGCAGTTTCGAAGATTTTAGAGACCTTGATCAAAGATAAGATGATGCGTCACTTAACAGTGAATAACCTACTGAGTGCTGCTCAGCATGGATTCCTCAAAGCACGATCTTGCGACACCTGTCAACTCTCTTTCTTTGACTATGTTCTTCAATCTAGGGACAATGGTTTTGCACTTTACACAGTATATTTCGATTTCTCTAAGGCTTTTGATCGTGTTGACCATGCTCTTCTTCTCTTGAAACTGTCCTCTTTCGGAATAGGTGACAAACTATTGAATTTTATAACCTCTTACCCGGTCACTCGTACACAACGAGTTAAGATTTCCAATATCATCTCCAACCCCACACGTGTGAGGAGTGGAGTCATTCAGGGTAGTGTACTCGGCCTACTTTTATTTTGCCTTTTCATTAATGATGTACCCGATATATTTCAGAATGGCAAGCCTTTCATGCATGCCGATGATCTTAAAGTTGCATATCGATATAAGCCGGCAGATCGTGACATCGTGCTTGAGCTCCTAAAGAGCGATCTACAGGCTTTCGCCCAGTGGTGCCGCACATGGCGCCTTTCTCTTTCCTGGCATAAGTGCTCAGTCATGGTGGTTGGCGACGACCGCCAAATTCAAATAAGTATTGAAGTTCACGCCATAAATGTGTGCGGGGTTATTAAAGATC